AGCAGACAGAAAATAGACACAGAGTTGTGTGGGACTTTCCACAACATTCACACAAACACGCACTCCCTTACCCACATACATTCAAACGTACAGATACAGACACACACATACCCTAATGACAAAATGAACAAGGCCACATTCAAATGTGGAATCTAATTTAGACACACATCCTCTAACCTGGTTAAGAAATCCCCCTGGCTTTCTCTTTGCATTTTTTTGCTGTGAATTTTGTTTTTCATAATGCTTACATATTGTGCCAGACACTTCGGGGTGATGCTTATACACACTTACACACACTTGACATTGACTTCCATAATAGGAAAAAAATATACCATGGAAGTCAATGGCAACCACCAACTGTTTAATTACCAGCAATCTTCAAAATATCTTCTATGTTCGACATAAGAAAGCAACTCATACAGGTTTGGAACAACATGAGGATGAGTAAATGATAATAGAATTTTTATTTTTGGGTGAACTAACCCTTTAACTCTATAGCATTAAGCATATATATTCTCACAAGATAATAATGTAACAAGGTTGTAACAAGGTTCAGTGTATGGAAGGAAGAAGACCGGGTCAGTGTGACTGGAACTCGTATTTTATTTGACTTCTCCAATATAACATAAAAGCAGTTGCACTCAACGCGCTTTAAACAACTCCGCATAAGTTAAATATAACTCCAACTATAACTTCAGTTTCAGCATCCACACTCCAGTAAGTCTCTCTCTGGCCAGTCTCCTTTCCCAGTGACCTTTATCTGGTCTCTCCACGCCAATTACTGAAACAAGACACAGGTGTTTGTCATTTGCACTTGACCCACTTACGCACTGCTCATCTCCTATCTCTCTCTCTCTCCCTCTGCAGACCTCAGCTGAACCACGCCCCCTCACCACATCCAGCTCCTAGATAAATCAGATTGGTTTGTTGCACTTCCCCTAATCCCCTTTAAAACACATTTAAATGCATTTCCATGAAATAGTTTCAAGGTGTTTTTAGGTGGACATCCCAGCATAAACCAAGCTCCAGATAAATTATTTGTTATGAAAGCATCTACGTTCACGAACCACTGTTAATTTTAACAGACAGGCAAGCATACTGTATGTATGATTTGGCATGGCAGCCAATATAATAACCATTGCCTTACCTAATGCAGCAAAATTCTGCATTCGGACCAGGCCCGGTTACAAAATCAATCACTGAGGGTCCATTGTATCGTAACTTCAATTTAATTATAAATGAATCCCGCATTTATATGTGGATTTGCATTGAAGTGTGTATGTGGCTGCTGGACAAGCATGAAAGGCAAAAGTTTTATTCAAATTCTGAATATGTATTATATAAAGTACATATCACCTAGACAGCACACAAAGAGCACTCTAAAAAAGCTGTCACTAATCTCAATTCATCACTATCTCATAAAGTTCTGTTATAATCAATGAAGATGACTACGCAGTGAATCTCTTATTTACATAATGTTTACATTTTGATAGTGAGAATTTGTGAGCATGAAGATCAGCACTGGACAAAAACACAGAGCGGCGAGTGATTCTGTCTAATGTAAACACCTCTGATTGGTCATTGCGTTCAAGAAATCAGCAGATATGTCTGTGATTGGCTTCACTGCTCACACTGTGAAAACACGTTTCCTATCTGTCCAAAATTCCATCCCCCTCGGTCCGGAGGGGGGCACAGTGAGTCCAAGAGGGGTCAGGCCCCCCCGGCTCCCCCTCTGGTGCCGGGCCTGTTTTAAATGATTTTATAAGTATTTTCATCACAGTGGCATAATGTGCCAGCAAAACGCAACCAAAGAAGTCTGTCTACCACTTATGTAAATAGACCAACAAAAAGCATCCTGTGTGAACAGTTCTTAGTCTGTGTCTCTCTCCTGCTCTTAGTTCTTCTTTAAATCACTCTTATAGTTGTCTTTTCATATTGAAAGATTAATTTAGTCTATTTCCACTGATCACAGGGCCAACAGAAACACAGCACTGGAGTGCTTGATGTATGTGTTTATATGTTTTGGCAAATCAGTAATGTGGGTTTTGTGGGCAACTCAAACTTCTCTTCTTTCTTGTTTTGGCTTGTGTTAAAACAAAAAGATCTAGTTGGTTTTCCACAGAGTGTGAAACATGGTGTCTGGGAAAGAGTTTCTGGTTGCTGGCACAGATTGAGTGAAGCCCTTGTTTATGTTTCGCAGGCCTTTTCATGATGCTGCTGAGGCAAAAGACCCACAGCAGAAATGTCATTGTTCCATCTGTTATAAACATTTATAAACACAAGCCAATAACAAATATGGACATGAATGTGTTCACACCAGAAGTTAGTCACAGGACACAAGTTCTCTCAGATGTGTTCCATTCTTTGTTTAAAATGTTGCTCACAAGACTTCATCTGTGAAATTGCAGATAATGCTTTTAATCAAAGCATCTTTCCTTCTCTTTCACCCCCCTGTTGAAAAAAACAGCATATGCTGGTTAGGTATGTTTTGACGCTGGGATGCTGGTTTAAGCTGGTCCTTTGCTGGTTTATGCTGGTCCTTTGCTGGTTTATGCTGGTCCTTTTGCTGGTTTATGCTGGTCCTTTTGCTGGTTTATGCTGGTCCTTTGCTGGTTTATGCTGGTCCTTTGTCAGCACATGACCAGCACAAACCAGCAAAAGGACCGGCATAAATCAGCAAAGGACCAGCATAAACCAGCTTAAACCAGCAAAAGAGCAGCATAAACCAGCAAAGGACCAGCTTAAACCAGCATCCCAGCGTCAAAACATACCTAACCAGCATATGCTGTTTTTTTCAACAGGGCCTTCACACGCAAATTCTGTCCCTTTTTTCTTATTGTGTTTTCAGTTGTGCTATAAATGGCACTTAGTCTCCATACATTAGTGAGTGACCTGAAGCACATGTTCACCCCCTCACACACGCTGAGTGTGTACAGATCCCTCTTCAGCCTCTCATTACACAGCTGAAGAGAGATCAGCCTGTATTGATTACACTCTCCACAGCCAATTAGTCTCTGATGTTATCTGGAAAGCGTACAAAAACATGCCATTTAAAAAAAGGACTGTCTCAGTGGTCTAAGTCACTGCAAGGCAGTTTGTCCATTTGTTATGTAGTTTGAGTTGCACTGCACTGCAGCCTTCCTATTTGGAAGGTGGCTGGATTTCATTATTTAAAAGTAACATAAATAAATACCATGGTAATTCCATGGTGTGTATAGTTTTAGATATTTTGTAATATTTTAATTAAGTTTACATTTTTATATAATATATTTTAATATTTTATACTACAATAGATATTATATAATGATTATTGATCAATTTTAATGATAATAATGATTATTATTGTTGTTGAAAAAGTGATATCAATATTTATAATTTATATAATAATGATATTATTTATATTTGTATTATGTCATTTCGATGTCCCTACACTCTTAAAAATGCTGGGTTAAATACAACCCAGTGCTGGGTAAAATAAGGACAAACCCAGCAATTGGGTTGTTTTGACCCAGCGGTTGGGTTAAATGTTTAACCCAACCTTCTGGGTAGTAACCCAACCGCTGGATAAAAACAACCCAATTGCTGGGTTTGTCGCTATTTTACCCAGCACTGGGTTGTATTTAACCCAGCATTTTTTAGAGTGTAGTACTCATACTCGGGTGTTACCAGTATCTATGTGAAATTTAATTGTTCTGTGTTTCTGATACATTTTTTTATTGTATTTGTAATACAAAGTGAAACATTCTTGGATTTGTGAAAGGCAATATTTAAATAAAAATGTTTGTTATTATTGTAAGGGCTGTGTGAGATGTTTTCACATATAGTAGACTGAGGTGGGGATGAGAAAACAGAAGCAGAGAAGCAAGAAAAGGGGCTTTAATATATGAGGGTGAGTGGGACTCTATTGAACTTTTTAAGAGTGACTGAGAGAGGTGGACAGACGCCACAGTGATTGTGCTAAACGCCACTTAGAGGTGAAGTTCAGGGATTTGTGAGTTTCTCACAGCCCTCAGTCATGCACAACAACACATAGCCACGTATCCACATTCTCAAACACAGCACACTCATTTGAAATGGCCAAGTAGTGCTTTAGCCAAACTTGACCTTAAATGATAGAGAGAACAACAAAATAAAGAAGAAAAAGAGATATTTTCTGCTGACCGATTCTCATTTCAACCAACTGAGAAGAACTCATATTTATAATACAGCCCATCCATCATCCAGACAACACATAATTAACGTGTTCCCCTCACATGCTGCCGGCTAACCTCTCGAGCATTATGGTGAACGTGTGTTTGTGTGCGTGGTTCTGTGTCTCTAGTGGCTAGTGTATGGCTTGAGGCACTACAGCAAGACATTTAGTGTGCCTGTCTAGTGTGGATGAAGACAAAGCAGCTCCTCATTGGCAGAAACAGCATGTACACACACGCAGCTGCAGAGCTTCAGCAGAGGCTGTACGGTCAGTCTTTGGGCCAGAGAAATTAATTGTTAGTATGCAGACAGCTGGAGTGTTGAAATGAGACAAAGGTAGCAGGTGTGTTGAGACAACAGTCTTCCTCTAGACTGATGGTTGGTTTGGAACATGACAAAAGTGTTATAGATGGCTGCTTGTGCATGTGTAGCATGGATTAATATCTTAGATGAGACACTCCAGTATCCAGGGTAACCTTACATTGTCTGTTATGGGATGTGTAGACAGGATCATATCAATTTTAGCTGTTTCTCTCTAGGTTTTTCAGTCTTTGAAATCTAGTCTTTGGAGATGTTCAAGTGTGCTAGTTCAAACCCAGCCTGCATCGTGTGCTCATCCTGTTCACCCTTTTCACTATAATTTCCTGTCTTTATAATACAAATTTCACAGAAAAAAAAATCATTTTTTTGTCTCAAATACTGTCATTGCTTTAGTTTGGCATTGTTCCTTGTCTGAGAAGTGTCATGTTATCATCTTACAGTCTTTTTCTTTTGAAGAGGCCTAACTCTCTTCCTCTCTGTCTCTGCAGGACCCATTGGATGAAGGTTATGCTGAAGGTATCAGTGATGAACATTATCGTTTAGAAGGTAAAGTACCTCACTATATCCTTTGAACAACTGGTATTCTCTTGCATATTGTTCCTGATCTCTCCTCAGCAGTTTCATTATTTCTTCTGTTAAATCATTTGCACAATGTTAGCATGGTATGATTTATTTCTTGTAATTTTTATTGAGTCATTTGACTGTAAATTGAAGGTTGTAATTTGCAAATTAAACTCATAGTAGCATGTTAAAATATTTATTGTCAAGAATCAGATAAGGATTTAAAGCTGATATTCCACCTCCTGTTGTAATAAAAAGATTTGCTTGGGGATCAAGATTCTTATATAGGGTTTAGGCAAAAGAAAATCGAATCATTTGACTGTGAATTGAAGGTCATGATCAAGAGGCTACAACAGGGTCAGATTCCTGTTCAAACAACATTTACAGCTTATAGGCTATGTGCTTTAAAGTTATCTGTGTGGGTCAAAGGACAATGTTTATGGTGTTATTGTTGCCTCATAATCATTAGTTAAATTGTACCTTGTCTGCTACCTATGGAATTGGATCTGACACCTTTTTAGTGGATCTTTGAAAATGCAAAACAAAGATTTTTGTTAATCATATGTTCATGCTTCTGTCATGTATTATTTTGGCACATACACAGAGAGAAGACAGTGGTTATATACCAGTGTATTTAAATTCATGTAAGAGAAAGATATCCTTGAGTGTAGCTTTTTTTAATTTAATGGGAGCAATGTCGTTTTTTAGTTTCCCCCAAACCTGCTGGATTTGTCATTAGGACGTCATAGTTTGCAAGTTCATAGCAGCATGTTAAAAGATTGTTTAGGCAAAAACTCTACTCACTTGTTGTAACAGTTTTACTGCACTTTAGCCTGTACCAAATATCTACACTGAGGAAACACACCCTGCTTTAGCTATTAACCAGTCAAAACACAGTTTATTCTGAACTCCTGGTGAACCTTTAGATTCAAAGCCACCTTTGGGATGCTGCCAAGCTGTCCTCTGTGTTGTATAGCGTGGTTTTTAAGCTCCGTCACCGGAGCTCTGTAGCGGGTTTGGCTGTCTCATCAGTCTGTGGGGAAGGACTTTGACTATTGCTGTGAGAGTTAGCACTTCCTTTGTGTGTATGGTGTGTGTGTGTGTGTGTGTATAGTTTTTTTGTGACCATTTGTTAGTCCTCTAGATAAACAGCTCCTGTATATTGTGAGATGGCTGGCTTTGGCCCTGGAGCTCAGCATTGCTTTTGAGTTTCTGGCCCTGATCAAAAGCCCTGATCTGACACTGTTTCCCTCCAAAAAACCTGTAAAAGCTCCCTGGGATGACTGCGCTCATCCTCTGGTGCTTTTCTTTTCTTTTTTCATCTTCCCTTGCCTCTCGCTGCAGAGGGACAAGACAGGTCCTCTTTGATCTGAGCGGATCAGCGGAGGAGAAGTGAATGAGAGAGAGAGAAGACAGCGAGAGATACTGTTGTGTCTGTCTATCCTTTTGGCTCGTACAACAAACAGTGTTTCAGATTTGACTTTGCTTAATTAATTAGAGATTCTGTTTTACAGACGGACTGATCCTGGGCCAAAAGGTTTGAGAATGGAACTTCAAAGCACAGGGATTTGGGGCAGGGGGGAGGATTTAGCCTGCAGGACTCAGCCTGGTGCTGAGCCATGTCCTCACTGAGCTGCGTTAGATCTGCTCTTGTTTAAAACATTTCCATCTTATTACACAAAGAGACAAACTGCTTCTGAAATTTGGGTATTTAGTTCAGGAATAGTCCTAACAGGCATTCTCAACATCAGAACGGGCCACTGTTAGACTTTGTTTTTCATAGCGACTCACTTTAAATTTGCTTGTGATTTCAGACATAGACACAAATAGGATATCGAGGATGTTTCTGAAGTCTGGCCTTAGGTTGCAGTTAGGCCTGTTTATGCCTTTATACTTAGTGTTAGCTAGGCACAGAGCTGATTTCCCATAGTCTGCTCTTAAAGTTAATAGTTCACCTAAAAATGAAGATTCTGTCATTGTGTTGTTCTAAACCTGTATGACTTATTTTTGTGGAACACAAAAGAAGGCAGTTAAGCTCAATGTACAGACACTGTGAAGCTTCAGAGGTAAAACAGCACAATAAAGGTAGCCCAAAAGACTCTAAATATTCCAAGTCTTACAATAGTTTTGTATGGAAAACAAACCAAAAAGAAAATCTTGCTTTCTTCAGCCAAAGAACCCAAATCTCAGTTGTGACATATTAAACTCGACATGTCACAGTTGGTTAAGTTACATGCAAGGAACCAGTGTCGTTTAACATCATTGACGTCAATGCTGCCACATTGTTTTGATTTAAACTGCTTACATTTTGATCTGCTGTCTTGGTTCCTCAGGTTTCTTCCTCATCCTTCCTAAACATCTTAGAGAGTTTTGCCTTAGTGGAGGATGTAAGACGCTCTTCTTTGTAAAGCTGCTTTCGGGTGATCCATTGTAAAAGCTCTGCCACTGCACAAAAAGTGGTCCTGAATTGAGATGTGGACATGAGCTACGTAAGCTACGTGTGCTACATGTCCATCCATGTTTTCCAAGACTCTAACAAAGTGTGTAGAGGAACATGTAGGCTATTTCTGAGATTAAAATCAGGGTGTGATAGCAAATTTTGGCTGTTTTAAGTTTTATGTCCCATACTATCAGACTATGAATGTCTTCAGTGTAATGCACTGAACTGCAATAGTTCAGATGACATGGCTGGATTCAAAAATAGCTGGGTGCTTCCTAGGCATTCTCCTTTAACTCTTTCCCTTCTCTCTTCTCTGTCTATTTTAGTGCATATATGCTCATTAAGCTGTTTCTCAGTATTTTTTACTCATTAAAAAATTGCACTTTTGAACAAAAGGTAGAGGTACAGTCAAATGAGACGAAGACAAAAAAAATACAAAAATACAGCAAGAGCATTTCTTAAGTATGACATTTGTTCCCTTATCATTATGTGAATTTGTGTCCCCATGTAGTGGCCCTGCCCCCTGAGAAGACTGACAGTTGTAGTGTGGAAGAGAGAATGCAGGACACTGAAGGCTCGGCCACTGTTGGACCACACAAACAATTACAGTTTGAGGTCAGTATAAAACACACATACATGTTGAGTAGGCATTTTAAAGAAATTTATACTTTTATTCAGCCAGGATTCAAGCATTAAAAGTAGGGATGCACCGATATGAAAATTTTGGCCGATACCGATAACCGGTATTCTTTATTTTTGAAAGCCGATAACCGATATGTTGGCCGATAAATCTATATCCAAATTGTTATATACTTTTTGAGAGCCTGATTACAAAAAAGGTCTCATCATTAAAAGCCACATCCCAAACACTTCAACATAAGCAGCCTAGTTTGAACGGTGTACGTTTTAAAAAATTGATCAAAAGTCACACTGAAGACATAATGTTACAAAAGATTTATTTATTTCAAATAAATTTCTATTACATTGAAATTACTATTAATCAAATAATTCTGAAAAATATGTATCATAGTTTCCACAAAAATATTAAGCAGCACAACTATTTTCAAGATTGATAATAATCAGAAATGTTACTTAAGCTCCTAATCAGCATATTAGAATGATTTCTAAAGGATCATGTGACACAGTGGCTGTTGACATTTCAGATTTGCTTTCATAAGAACAAATTACATTTAAAAATGTATTAAAACAGAGAAAACAGTTATTTTAAATTGTAGTAATATTTCACAATATTGTTGTTTTACTGTATTTCTGTTCAAATGCATCTTTGGTGAGTATTAGAGACTTCTTTTTAAAACACAATCATGCCGACCCAGAATTTATGAACAGTCTTTTAAACGTGTGTTACTGAAACAATGATTATCCATTGTTGTTTATTAATCAGGAGTTGGAGTGCGCCGTATCAGTTGAAGAAGATAACAGGCAGGAGTGGACTTTCACCCTCTATGACTTCGATAACAATGGCAAGGTCACAAGAGAGGTAAGACCGAGACCTCTGTGCACTAAGGACAGTGACTGCTATCTTTTGTCATGGGAAAGCCCAGCAACAGAGACAACACTAACAGGACATACTAAATAGATGTCGCTCACTGTCTTTTTTTCTTCCACTGTGCCACACAGTTCCTGTTTTTCTCAGCCTCATAGTTGCTCTGCATTTACATGTCATTTCCACATGCTAAATCGCCTCAGATGTATAGCATGTTTCATGTTTGCGTGCACATGTGCTCTCCACTGCTGTCAGCATCTGTCTTCCCTCTCTGAGGCTATAGAGACTCTAATTAACACATTATTATGGACATATAATAATGCATGTATCTTATCATTTATCACGTACAGGCTTCCACAGCATATAAAAGACTAATCGACCGTCTCGTGTCAGTGAAGATGTCTTAATTTCATGTTATTTTTCCCTCTCTATCCCCCTGCATCCAGGACATCACCAGTCTACTGCACACCATTTATGAGGTGGTGGACGCATCAGTGAATCACTCCCCCAGTAGCAGTAAGACCCTCAGGGTGAAGCTCTCCGTCGCCCCAGACTCCAGCCGGAGATGGAGAAACTGCACCCAGACCAACACAGGTACACAGAGAGAGTTTTCTCCGAGCAACAGAAAATTAGTTGAGAGATATCAGGGAGAGCTCACTCAAAATGCAGTCATCATTTACGCACCGTCATGTTGTTCCATAACTATATGACTGTATCATTTCTACCATGGAACACAAAAGGTATTTTAGCAGAAATTTGGTGCTGCTCTTTTCCATACAGTGATGGAATGGAATGGTAACTGGATCAATCAGACTTAATCAAAAAGGACAAAAAGACACTATTTAAGAAGTCAATATGACAACAGGTTTGTGTGATGGTCAAACTGAAATGTACAGTCATGGCCAAAAGTTTTGGCAGTGACATAAATTTTGTGCTTTGCAAAGTTTGCTGCTTCAGTATTTGTAGATTATTTTTCCACATAATTGTATAGAAACATTAAAAGTTTCTATGGTATACTGAAAAACAATGGTAAGCATATCATAAGTTTTAAAGGCTTTTATTGGCAAAAAAATATAATGAGTCTGATATTTACAGTGTTGACCCTTGTTCTTCATAACCTCTGCAATTCGCTCTGGCATGCTGGATATTAGCTTCTGGGCCAAATCCTGACTGATGGAGATCCATTCTTGCCTTATTAGTTCTCGGAGTCACACTTTGTGGGCTTCTGCTTGTCCACTTGCCTTTTGAGGACTGACCACAGGTCCTCTATGGGATTGAGATACGGGGATTTGCCTGGCCACGGATCCAAAATTTCAATGTAATGATCTTCGAGCCACTTCTTTATCACTCTTGCTTTGTGACATGGTGCTCCATCATGCTGGAAAATGCACAGATTATCACCAGATTGCTCATGGATCGTTGGAAGAAGTCGCTCTTGCAGGACGTTTTATTCTATTAACAAGGCGGAAAAAAACAACGCAGCGCAGAATGGGAAACTGAGAACTGCATCGGGCTGAAACTAGTAAAAACACTTGCGCCACATTGCGCCGGGTGTATGATAGGGCCCAGTGATTGGAAGCGCTTCTTCCCACCTTTTATAGCAATCAGTCTGCTCTTACAATCTAATTAGTATGATAGTGATTAACCTGACTAGTACGAAAATGCACAGATTATCACCAGATTGCTCATGGATCGTTGGAAGAAGTCGCTCTTGCAGGACGTTTTATTCTATTAACAAGGCGGAAAAAACAACGCAGCGCAGAATGGGAAACTGAGAACTGCATCGGGCTGAAACTAGTAAAAACACTTGCGCCACATTGTGCCGGGTGTATGATAGGGCCCAGTGATTGGAAGCGCTTCTTCCCACCTTTTATAGCAATCAGTCTGCTCTTACAATCTAATTAGTATGATAGTGATTTCACCGGACTAGTACTCATTCACACTTTCACATGTGCTGCTGATATAATTAGTCAATTCATGTTAGCTGGTCATTTTGTGTCAGGATCAAAAAACAGTGAATTTTTTTGTGTAAAGTTCATTTTTTGGCCAATGAAGCTTTTAGCAGTTATTTAAAATGCATCTGATCACTCTACACAATAATCTAGAAACAATGTGAATGAACACCACAACAGTTTAAGCAGCAAACTTTGCAAAACACAAAATTTATGTCACTGCCAAAACTTTTGGCCATGACAATATAGAGGCTATTTATACCCGTCATGTATTTGAAAGAGAAGAGCCTTTGAACAGCAGCTGTCTTCATGCAAATTCACAAGTGTGTTTTTTTTATTTATATGAGGCCTGAGTTCAAAATAGAATAAATAAATGACACGCGGTGTCTAATTAAAGTTTTTTTTTGTTTTTAATTTTTAATTGCACAAGTGCAGTCTGAACATGTTTTTAAATACCATTAATGTTGTGTTCCATAATTACCCCCCCCCCCCCCAAAACAACAACAACATGAGGGCAAGTAGACAATGACAGAATTTTTGGGAGAACAGTTCTAAATTCTTGTTACACTGTCTACACTATTGCCCTCCTCCTTTTCTTGTCTTCCATGTCATTGCATCTCTTGTAAGATGAGTTCATATTCAAAGGCAGAAGACGACAGAAAGAAAAAACCCAAACCTCTGCAGCTCTGAGCTTTTGGATTTCTTTTGGAAAATGCTATCTTATCCCTCTCTGAAAGTCTTCTTTTAGATAGTCTTTTGCTGTTTGAAAAATAAATAAATCCACATTTAGCCACTTTCTAACCGTGTTACTTGGTAAAAAGCAATGTAATGGAGAACAGAAAGTACTCTGAAGAAACAGAAGTGTTTCTGTTTGTTTAGTGCTGTCATTTGGGCTATTTATACCCGTCATGTATTTGAAAGAGAAGAGCCTTTGAACAGCAGCTGTCTTCATGCAAATTCACAAGTGTGTTTTTTTTATTTATATGAGGCCTGAGTTCAAAATAGAATAAATGAAGCATTGTTGTTTTTTCTTCTTTTACGAACCTTCAAAGTAAATAGAAAGCAGGGAACAAAGGTTTCTTTCTTATTTTAGTTGGTCTTTAAAGATGCTGCAGTATATGTGCACGTGTGTGTGTGATGCTATGCAACTCAACGCCGTTCTCTTTGATAAAGACCCCCTCTTCTCTCTCTCCCTCTCTCGCTCACTCTGTCTTAATCAGACACTCCCCATCCCAAGCATAAGGGAGAAAAGTGCATTGAGGACTCCAAGACTTCAGAGAAAAAGTCAAGAGCCTTTCTTAGGTACTAGGAAATTAAGCTAAACAGACCACATCATATGCAAATCAGTTTCACACATTAGTGTCTGTAATTGTTACATAAAACTACAATATATAAACTTCAGAAGAACATGTCACAGTTGAATCTTTTAAGAAATTAACATTAAATGGACATAGATTGGTTCAAGCCTGCTTTGTGTATACAACCTCAGAGCAATGTACTTTCTGTCATGACAATATGATGCTGTTGTATTAGGCGTTACCATGCTGACCAGCAAGGTTGTCAGCGGCACTGTGTGGATGAGAACTTGGAGAGAAGAAACCATTACCTTGACCTGGCCGGCATTGAAAACTACACATCCCGCTTTGGAACAGGTACAGATTTAATTGCAAAAAAGTAAATGGAGACAATAGAGCTTTCTCATTTAGGCCCTACTCACACCTGGTGTTTAAATCGGTCTTGTGTGATCCAGTCACAGGCAATCTGCCCAAAAACATTGCTATCTCAGATGCATCAGTAACACATTACTATAAGATTCTGTACATTACCATTACAGTAGTTGCAATAGCTTATGTGAAATAACAATGTTTAATACTTTATAGCCTTTGTGAAAAAGAAGAGCATTTCTTTTTCACAAGACATAATTTATTAATCATGGTTAATGTACGTTTTTACATATACATTTTTAGCATTTAAAATTTTATGACATTATTTCATGATTTATAAACGAACATGAATTGTCAATGGATAAAAGTATATTTATATATTTTGCAGATTTTATAAATATGAATAAATATATTTTTTAATAATACACAAAAAATTTTTTTAAAGTGTTTTGAACCACTTGTACGTCTGTGTTTAGTGCTGGCCCACATTAACCTCAACATATCATATAGTAATACAAGATGTGCAAGAGATCATAAAATAACTTGAGACTTACACTCTTTTGTGGTGAATAATCTATTATTTTATACTATTAAAACCTATTTATAATAATAAAATAAAATAATAATAATAAAATTAAAACAAAATATTTTGTGCTTCCTCTAGCAGCTCCTGCCACAGAACCAGCAAAACTCAACAATACCACGCGTTCATCCAATCAGACGCGCTCACGTTCTCAGGAACCCGAGAATGTCCACGCATACTCCGCTCACCATCGGCGCTCACAGACCATGACCACGGATCCTCCTGCCATCCTCTCCCGGCACTCACACGCATTTCGTTCCCCCAAAACGCACCGCACACCGCCCACACTGGCCTCCGCTGGTCGGGTGATGAGAAGAGGAGTGCCCCCTCCCCCAGCGGTCCCCAACCAGACCCCTCCGCACCAAAGCTCAGGTCCGTATCGACGACACAAGCAGAGGCCTAAAGAAGGGCTGCACTATCGGGCTCCTGGGCCGACTGTGACGTCTGGCCCAGTCATAGAGAAAGAGCATGTGAGGGATCTGCCCAGTCTGGTGCTGTATGAAGGAGGACTAGCTCAGGTGGTCCAGCGGCATGAGCATCATCATCATCATGAACATCATCATCATTACCATCACTTCTATCAGTCCTGAAGAGTAAAACACAGACGCCTACTTAATGGATCTAAATAAGAAGAACCACTAGGAACGTAACAAATGATCTTAAATCTTCTTGCATGGCCACAATGAGGCTGAGAAGGACAGAAAGAATCATTTTCATGCCAAAGTGGCAGACAATATTTGTATATATAAGTGTGTGTGTGTGTGTGTGTGTGTGTGTGTGTGAGGTTGTGTGAGTCAGTTTGAATGTGTGCTATTGTATTCAGTCCTGTCTTTAGCAGCAGGAGAGGTTTACTTACTACGTAAGGGCTCTATCTTTCCCTTTTCTCTTCTTTCTTTCTCTATCACTCTGTCTGCCTCCTTTGTTTTATCTCTCTCCCTCTCTTAATTCTTATCTGATTGGTCTGTTTGGTTGAAAAGGTAGTCAGCCCTGTTAAATGAAGAATTTTGAGTTGTCAAACCACTTTTGAAGGAATACAATTCCTTGGTTGTGTAATATACATTTTGTCTGTGTGTGTGTGTGTGTGTGTGTGTGTGTGCGCGCGCGCGCACGATCTGCGCGTCTATGTGTGCCTAAGGTGTCTTTTTTACACTTATGCTGTTATTGTTTTTTTCTTTTGTTTTTTTCCACTGAAGACCACTTGAAAAGCACTTCTTGTGCCATTGCATTCGAGACACTTTATCTATGAAGAGCTTCTCTCTCCGAAACAACAGATCTGAATCAACACCTTTAAAAATGCAATACAGGACACATGTATATAAAAGAGCCAGTAAAGACGCTCAAACTGTCAAAAAGGACTTTGTTGAAGGACAGTATGAGAACTTCACTCTACACTTTAAAATCTACATGAAGAAAACAGAGCATCATAATCAGCTGCTACCTCTAGTATTATTGACAATTTTTATTATTGAGATTTTTTTTTATTTGTCTCTCTATTGTAATATCCCACAAATCTGCAGTCATGTCAAGATGTATCGGATTTAAATCCATTGTAAGCTTTGTTACTGAAACATTTCTATTCATATTTTTTTCTCTGTCCCCGTAACTTAAGCTAATTGCATTCTAAGAACACTAGGCATCAGAGTTTATAGTGTAATTATGTATATCAGACAATATGAGTTCTTAAAATAATCTTCTGATTGTAGAATAATGTTTTGAAGCTTGTTAAAAAAAATATTTATTTGAAAAGCATATTCCTGTCACGTTTATGGCAAGTCAAAATGGGTCTAATCAAATGATTGGAAAACATTGAATATAGTTTATATCGTATGACACAATATTATACCCGATAATGTATTTTTGCTTGTTTAGTTGTGGTTTCAACTTTTCCTTATTATCAGTTCATTCATAAGGCAATTCAAGTTGTAAAGTGTAAAGGAATCTATGATGCCAAGGAAAAATAGTATTTTTATTTCTCAGGTTTATTTCACGTTTGAGTCATTGATTTGACAAGACAATATTATCGGTTTTGAAGGGAGCTGTAAACCACTGGATTGAAGTTTTGTTTTGTTTTTTGGTACAGAATCACCATGTAGAGTTTTTAATTTCTTTCAGAATCCAAGAATATGTCCTCAGACTGAATTAGGATCTTTTAGACAGTATGGTAGTGCCTTTAGCTCAGGATTGGCAGAAGTGAGATGGGTAGCTAGAAAACAAGGAGTCTGGTTTATTAGGAGTTCATCTGTTCCCCTGCAGCAGTTTTAAACAGCATTTAAATAGTACATTATGAATCTATTTTAGGTTCGATGTATCCCTAGTCACCTAGGGGGAGTGAGTGTGTATGGCAGCTGTCTCATTCCTCAGGGGCAGGATGGCAGTATCACCGCCTAGGAGTCTCCAGTCCTCCCATAACTCACCAATACTCCACTGACAGAGCTAATGAGTGTGTGTGCAACTGAAAACAGCACTACGGAAGAATATGAAACACAACAGCCTTTGTTCGGACTCAGCAAAACAGGTGTGTGTGTTGAAGCTCACAGCAGGTGTTTTAATACTCCAGGTTTGTGTGATATAATTGATCTCATCTCTCTTTTTTGATGATTTTATAAACAGAAAAATCTAGTATTGAAAGCTACAAAAAATGTTGGGCCTCAATATGGACAATAGTTACATAAAAAGAGATATACATCTCTGATGTGTTCATTATGTTTGGTTATTAGAACCTGTTCAACTTACTGATAGGTTTAGAGTGAGATCGGCTGACTCTGCTGCTTAGGAGGACAGTGGAAATATGAGAGCATCTCTGGAAAACCCACCTGCAGCTTCATCACAGCTAGTAAGTTAGCGACACTCGACCTTCATTCAGTTTTGCTGTTGTAGGGGAATGATTGTGTGGTATGGAGCTTAGCTCTCCCTCTCATTTTCTCTCTCTCCTTGTGGTGAGATGTTGTCATTTTAAATGATTCTGACCATTTCTTAAACATGTATTGCTGCTAAAGGAAAGAAAGAAACCAACCCACGGCATCATGAGAAATTGAAAACTGTAAACACGCCACATGTGCAAAACATGTAAATGCACAGCAGATTAATTTATATTATTTCATTATTGTCCTGCAGTGTTCCTGTTTATCCTTTAATCAATCACCACGCTGATACTGTTTAGATGTTTGATAAGATCAGTTGTCTAATGGTTGTAAATATGACATGAACAGACGGCTGTGGTGATACCAGTATGTAGACAGATTCTGCTCTATTTATCTGGATGATCGACTATTTTGTATAGTGCCATTTGTACTTACAACATTTCTTGATTTCTATTGTGCTTTTGTTTATTGAGTGAGTGTGTGTAGGATGACACACTCTCTGCCTACATTCCTCTCTCTAGGGACTTTTTTTCAACAGATATTTTCACAAGAGTATAAACAAGTGACACCAGGTTCACAATGGGTGCTGGATTTGTGTGGTGAGGATGGTGAGGACTATAGCTGTGAAAGAGCCATATCTCTGTGTCACAAAAACAAACAGACAGCGAGCGAGCAAGCGGGTGATGCTATTGACTTGAGCGTGAGTGAGGAGGCTGCTTCCATATGTGTGGAGTGCGCTTTGTCTCCTGTAGATAGACACAGTGCTTTGAAGTGCGGATTGGCCCAGTGGGGTGCTAGCTTCTGTTGAGTGGAGATGCTAAACACAGAGGATGTGAGGGACACGCGACTATGCGCTACACTATTAACCATACAGGAGCAAAGAGGCGAAAACGCAAATCCAATGATAATGTACATCTGTTCCAGAGTATTTAGAGGCTTTGAATTTTTTTTTTCTGTGGGATAAGTGGAGCCCTTTTTCTTACAGTATCTCACAACTTCAAAGCAGATTCTCTGGATAATGCAAATGATTGGAACATAGCGCTTTCTGCAGGCTTGAAAGCATGAAAAGAAAAGAGAGAGGAGAAAAAAAAGTGAATTAAAGCTAATTGGTGTGGCATGCTTTTATGTATGAGAAGATGGGCGAAAATAAAGCACTTTATAAACCGTCAAGTTCACTGAATTAGGCGAGAAGCTGACAGAGTGCTAAAGTTCACATTCCCTCTATCTGTCTTTGAGGCTTGTTTGTAGCACTCAAGGTCTCGGTGCCCTGTTGACATTTGCTCCACAGCAACGGCTGTTAAGGGTATGATGAGATAACAGTCATTGAGATTAAGAGCATCCCTTTGTAATCACAAAGGCATGTTTGACAGCTGAGATGGTAAATGGAGGTGTGACTGGTTCTGTTTATGAGTACGCAATGCAATGTAAGTCTTCGTATGTTTGTGTTTTACAAAATATTACATTTAAGAAAATATTTGACTATTTTCAATCAAATAATATTAACATAAATTTAAATAAAGTAGAAACCAATTCTGAAACATAGCTGATGACTAGTGTTATTGATTTTATGTTATTGTTATAATTACTACTGTTTATGGGATCCCATCAAAATAATGGCTTTGAGCAGTGTTGTTATTGGTGTGACCTGTGATATTTTTGACTGATACTAAAACTAACAACAAATTTTGCTGAAATAAAAAACTTAAATCAAAGCTGAAATATAAATATGAGATTACAAACTTAAACTTAAAAACCAATTGCCTTAGCAACTAATTGATATAAGTTTTAAAAAAATGTAACTTAAAAACAAAAGCTAATAGAAATATTAAAAAACATAACTTAAACAAAAATTAAAATGTAAACAGAAAAATAAAAGCTAATTAAAATATGAATAAATAGGCTACTATATTAGTAAATAAATAATATGAAAATAACACTGGCTGTGACTCTGTCTATTGCAGTGCTGTGGAAATACTTTGATACAATTGAAGAATGTATGTACGTAGTTAACATAAATCGTAAGAATTTATTTAGGGAAAAAAAATCATTGCTGATTGCTAAGTCTCCCAGAACTCTCCAAAAATACATAAGAAAAACATATTCAGAAAATGACCTTCAACTATTTGTAATAATATTTTCGGACTGATTGGTCCATCATAACTATCTCCACATCAGCCCAGGGTGTAGTGCTTTACAGCTATAGGACAGGAAGAGCTAAATAAACTTATCACTGCATCTAAACCAACAACATGCCTGTTAGATCCTGTACCCACTAAATTTAGACTGGACTATTGTAATGCACAATACACAATGCACAAATCATGTGACTGAAATGTGAGGGTGTGTGGAAACATGGAAACAGTCAGGAACTCAAGAGCTAATGAACTGTAGTGAATTATTCAAAAGGAGAGGAAGAGGGGAAAAGAAAGAGAAAATGCTTGAGGGCTATATTTATTTTTACAAGAGCCCTGTAATTATAAAATTTTATCATGGTAAATTAATACTGATAAGAGAAACAAAATATGGCATGTTTAAAAGCACTTCATCATTGAGAAATTAGTTACTTTGCTGAGACCAGGGCTCAAGTCCTACTGTCACAACATAAACACGCCTTTATAGACATTAAAGGGATAGTTCACCCAAAAATGAAAATTTACCCCATGATTTACTCACCCTCAAGGCATTCTAGGTGTATATGACTTTCTTCTTTCAGACTAATCCAATTGGAGTTATATTAAAAAATGACCTGGCTCTTCCAAGCATTATAATGCCAGTGAATGGGTGTTATTTTTCAATAGTCCAAAAGAAGTCCAATAAAGCGCATCCATCCATCATAAAAAGTGTCCCACATGGCTCTGGAGGGTGAATAAAGGCCTCCTGAAGCGAATCAATTAATTTTTGTAAGAAAAATATTCATATTTAAACTTCATAAACAGTAATCTCGAGCTTCCGCTAACTGTCGTACATGCTTTCGCTAGAGAGTGGCGTTCAGGGCGGATGACATAGGACGTAGGCGTAGCATAAGGTACGGTGAGAATATGCTAGTCTCGCAAGAACCAAGGTTTGTTTACAGATGCAAAGGAAGCAATGTTTCCTTTGTTTAGCAAAGGAAAACTAGTCTCCTCTTGGCTTATATCGAAGTCCTCTGACATTTTTCTTTACAAATCCTCATTTTGTATTTCTAATTTGTGACGGGTGTTTTGTTTTGCTCTCGCCTCTGCGCTTCTGTGTTCATCACTTCTCACCGGAACTTACGCTACGCCTGTGTCTTACCAGGACATTTTTTAAATATAACTCCGATTGTATTCATCTGACAGAAGAAAGTCATATACCAATGAATTACAAATAGTAGACATGAGCAAGTTCTCCAGTAAATCCGGACTTAACATTCAAATCTTTACTCTCAGCTCAGGTTATTGGATTCACACGAACCCCTGTCTCCGATTAGGTTTCACTTGCCCCTTTTTTTTCTTCTTTTTTCTTTCTGATATTCTCAAGCCACTTACTTTTTCAAAAGTCTGCAGGATCTTTTATGAGTCACTTGCATATTCTTGAGTGTTTCCTCCTGTAATCCCTCTATAGAGCCACATGCTTCACTTATAACTTCAGTGTTCCCTTCTGAGTCACCTGCTCTTCTGAAAGTCTTTTCATGGTGAATCAGTCTGTGATAAGCAAGAAAGCGCTGACTTTCGTCTCTTCACCCTTACGACTCGATCCACCAGCTGCATGAGTCCACCTCTGGATTGGTGGTCCCAAATGTGTGTTCTTGCATGACATTATGTGCAAGTTGTTTTTATAGTATTTTTGTAAACTGTTTGA